AAAGCAACGACCGGTACGGTAAACCGAGTCAAACTCACAGGAAACCGGCTGGGTGGTAATGATCAGTTCCCTTAGTAGATTTTTCTATGATAAATGCGTAATATTTTAATGATTCAATATACAGAAAATGTGAATGTTGGTTTAAACACACTTATACTATTGGAGATGCACTTTTAACAGAGCAAATATGGTATAAGGGTTTGAAGATGTTATTGAGCAAATACAGAATGAAAAAACTTGTGTCAATTACCTGCTGTATGAGAAGTGTCTGTCACAACTGAAAGCACATGTTGAAGAATATCAGTATAATATGTTTGGTAAAAACTTTGTGCGGCTTGTTCATTTTGCCAGACATTTTGCAGTAATCCATACAGTATATTAAGACCTGCAACAAAGCATTCCAATTGAGAACAGTACAATAGAAGGCAGACAAAAAATATAGCCTACATCAGGTTTTAATCAGGCTTAAAAAAGAAAGTTGTTTTGAAAAACTGAGCTTTAAAATCACTTTACAAAATGTCAGAACCAAATCAATGATGAAATCATACACATGTATGTAAGTTCACCTAAGGGTGGGCATCAAGGAAGTTTTTATACATGGATGATAATTTTAATTAGCATTTTTTTCAACTCTAACTTCGGCCAATTGTTGCAGTATGAAAGTATTATTTTAGATTTGCCTCTCTATTGCAAGGAAGTAAGAGTATTATGGTTTTAAAAATATTTTTTTGTACTAACAAATTCTAAAACTTTTTCATGTAGAAACACTTGTTTTCGCTTTCAAAGCTTACACTGGTATGATAATTCAGTTCTGGTAACAATCAACGGTAGTCTTCATTCAAAACCCTACCCCTGAAAAACAAGTCATTGTCAATGACATAGTCTTCGTTTGTATTTTGTTTTTCTTTTCTATAGTACTTGTGATTTTTGAGACTTTTACGTTATGTAATGCCTATAGAGCTCATTTTAGGAGAATATGTGAATGATAAGTCCTTTAAATAATAATGATAATAAGTTGTCCATCAGTCGACCATTTTGGATTTGATGGTAACAAAGTACATGTGCATTTGTCCAAATGGAAAAGGTCACTCCATAAGTTCTTGTTTTCAGACTTCGTCCAAACGGAGACTAATAAAAAAGTGAAACCCTTCATCAAGGTCAAAGTGCCAAAACTCATGGTTAATAGTTAATTCAGTAAATATATTCAGAAATTTGGGCTTATAAAAAATTTTCTGAGAAATCTATTCTTACCTGTATCTGCTACATTCCTCATAGTATGTTTGAAAGCCCAGATGATGGAGTCTAAAACTAACTTAAATTGCAGAGGTGGGATGTTGAGTAAAGCTGTAAAACAATGTGAATTGACTGCTTGTAGCAGCAAGAAGAAATTGGTCCTATGTTCTGGAAACTCTTCAAAGTTCTTATTAATCATCTCAAGTGTACACTCAAATACAGCATCAAAGATTTTTGGTACTTCTACAGTAATATTTCCTTCTAGTTTATTTACGATTGTTGCCATTGTGCCTAACACTTCAGGTTCTCGAGCTGCTGGAACATTCCGTGCATAATCTCCAAGTACTGCATCAAGTAATGGTGGAATAAAATTATCAACAACCTGTTGAAATGAAGAATTTATTGTTAAGAGATGCACTACTACAGTGCCACTTGTGTTGCATGTGTTTTCTCAACCATTTTACAACACCATTTACATCAGGAAACAATTTTACCAATTTTCCTTGAACTTTTCATATCTTGATTAGATTTACTGTTACAATCCCTATCATTGTATGGTTTAAATTATTATGTATTTAATATTATAAACTTACCATCTGAGGATCATTAGACCTGCTAACCCAACCAGAAATAAGTTTAAGAGTCTCTTTTTTAACAGTACGCATACTGCGTATGAGAGGCTGTTTGGTAACAATTTCTCCATTAGTAGATATTGCTCCTGATATGTTTTCACTCATACATTTGTAGATGTTCAGCATATCTAAATAAATTCTACCAAGCTACCAAGAAAAGCAAACAAAAAGTAGTAGATTAAAACAAAAGAAAACATTCACATCCAACATACCCCATCATCAATGTCACAATCTCCCTGCACCAATTGTCATAGGTTTCATTGTTAATATTCTTGGCAGAGTACATCATCAAATTTGCCACTATGTTTACCTTACTGAATATAGTCTATGTTGGTTCATCAATCCCGAAAACAAGTCGGCATTTCAATTTTCTGAACGATGTTTCAATAAATACATGGTGAGCATGCTCACATCAGTAACTATGTCACTGCCAGCTAATCACAGAACATCAACATGCATTCTGGGTAATGGTGATCAGTGTTCTCCACAAGGGGTTTTAGGCGGGCGGCCCGCCCATCAAGTTTTACGGCCGCCCAGTAACTCTCAACACCCGCCCACCAACGTACATCCAGCTGAAATTATTTGTAAAAAGCTTGCATTGTTCTTCCCAAGCCTAAACAAAAGAGTAGTTGCCCAACCCTTTATTTTTCTATTGTTTCAAGAGTCCAAACATAAACAATGTCCATTGGAAGTCTGCAAGCAGTTATCAAGTGTATTCATGGCAATGTGTCAATCGCTTGAATTCATTGTCGCCCGACATTGTTGCCACTTAATGCCCCCGACACGCAACTACAGTGGTTTCAATTTACAGCTGTATTTTTAATAATCGTCACGAAAGAAAGAAGTAAATACGAACGAAATGTATATGCACAGAAAATAAACAAATATATTAGCAGATTGCATGTAAACTCGAACAAAAATTTAAATTCTAGCCGTATTTACAACGTTCGCTCGATTTTCATTGTGAAAACAGCATGGAGAAGCAAACTGATGACCTTTTGGCCTACCCCATTCAACGACCGTCTGCTACCCACCGCTGTTGGCGCTGTAACGATTTATATCTAAGTTGCATAGGGAACAGCGCATTCTGGGTGTTCGTGTACT